GTTAAGAGAATATTTTACTGGTAGCAAGGGCTACTCAGCGAGGGTATCATGAACTGGGGGTTGGAAGGCCTTAGGCCAAAGAAGCAAATATTTTAGGTTAAACATTATACAAGACAGCCAGTCTCTTTGTCTTAGGCCTCGTCTAATCAGAAATTACCTTAAATGTTCCCCTTGATTTTTCTTTTTGCTTTGTTAAATATTACATCTTGCATCAGTCTTGTCAGGTTGTTGGGTATGCTAAACTACTACAGAGTCACATCTAGATATTTCCTTTTGCATGCTAACATAGAGTTGATGTTCTGGGAGTTTCTATTCGTAAATTTGTCTATTAGGCATCTGATGGTGAAAATCTGAACAATCCTTTTTTTCTGTTTTTTTCTGAATTTACATTTTTAGTCACCTAGTATTTGATCAGTGTACGGTTGTAGTCTTGGAGCAATTAGTTTTTTTCAGTATTTTGTATGTACCATTTAATAGGGGAATTCTTCTGTAGTTTGTGCATTGTACTTTAAAAGCTTTCTTGAGCATTTGAGTTATTAGTGCTGTTTTCCATTTTTTTAAAATTTTCTCTTCTTGTCAAACTTGAGTTATATGTTTATGTGGCTGGGTGCGTAGTTTTATTCATCAATTTTTAAAATGTTCCAGTGTGATGAGGTATTCTTTAGGGGCTTTGTTGTTTTTAATATAATTGATTACTTCTGTGGTTTCAGCAAAAGTTGGTGAGTATCGGTTCTCCGTGTGGTGGTTGATAATCTTCTTCTATAAATTGCCTGCATTTACTGTTCCCTCAAAATATTGAGCCCTCCACTCCAGGTTTTTTTTAAAAAGTATTTTTCCTAATTAATTCTCTACTATTCCTCTTACACATTTGAGATATGGCTTGGTATCCATTCTTTTCGTCTTTTGTCTTCATGTACATTCTTCCCATGTTCTCCCCCTTGATACATCTTCAATTTCTTGGAATTTAGCTTTGTTCCCCACTCCCTTGGTTTTTTTTTAACAATATTTTTCGCATGCCTTCTTGTTTCATTGTATGTTGTTTTTGCTTGCAAGGGATGAAAGACTTAGAATGGGTATTCTCGTATGTAGTTATTGTAATTTTGCGTTTTTTATTTCCATGTGATAAAATTATTTTTTTTTATTTCTTTTTGAATATGGATGACTTTGTACCGCGCTTCGAGCCTTTGTGGATGAAGTGTGATTTTCAAATAAGCTTTATTATTATTATTTTACGTTTGTCTCGATTTTCTGGTTTCCCGTTGCGTTATGGTCATTCGTATCATGTTCCTTTCATCGCCAGTCTCTCTGTTTATTTATGTTTTTTTCCCTGTTCATGTTTTCCCTGATGCTTCTACATCACATTGTTAAGCTTTGGCGGTTAGTAGGTCTTGGGTAAGAATTTTTTAATCAAATTTGTTTCTCTTTCACTTAGGTCATTGTGTGTCATGATCAGTATCTGTTTATTTGTAACTATTACAGGTAGATGGCCAGCTGCTCTTCTCCAACACAAACGAACCAGATGAAATAAAAACCAAGTTACACGAGGATACTAAGAATGTCAGAGCTGGCGCTCAACTGAGAAGGACAAGCTAAACATTTTGGGGACATCAACATTTGAGTATGCCTCAACAAAAATACTTGATAAACACAAGCAAACTAAGCATAACAATGTCGTAATCAATAAGTAAATATACAATACAGCACACAAACCCTCTTCTCACAAATCCTGAAAGAGCGCTAGAAAAGTTTCGACAAGCCTACATGTACGCGAGGACAGTGAGTTTTAGATATATGCTAACCTCCAGGAAGTACAAAGAATTTCTAGATCGGACACTTACTGTTCAAATGCTCCTAACCAAGTAACTGAAGATAAATAGGAATGGGATCGGGAGGGGGGGTGGTGATAGGGCCTTATCAACCGGTTAAAAAACAGAGAATAAATTACTTCTTATGTGGCAAAAAAATTCAGTCCCAAAGAAAAAAAAATCTTGCACACGGGGTTCGCAAGAATAATGTTACAACAAATGGAAAAGAACAAAAAAATATGCATGGCTCAAAAACACAAGAGATAAAGTGTGGAAAAAATGAGAGTTACATTTCCGACCGAGCTTTGTAACACTCTGACTTAAAGACTTAACTACCTGTTTCTACTGATAACGTACACTACTTGATATCACATGATTTTAATGTAGTCCTTATTGTGTGCCTACACAAGAGCGAAGGCAAGGGTACAAAATATCCTTGCTGTTTACTGGAGGCAAGATAATCCCAATGATCCATCTTAAACGTCTTAGTGCTTTTCTTGAGAAGAGAATGCACCCAGAAATTCAGTATGGTTTCCCTTAGACGCTTGGGAATTTTATATGTGTACTGCTTTCCAAATGAGTTACAGTACAAGGTCAAAAAAATAATTTTGACCTTTTCTTCAGCTATGTACTCCTAACCTGGGATTTGATTTGATCACGTTTCGTGGAGAATGTCCTCGGAACACAATGGTCCATTATGGTTGGCGTAGCAATTAAATGATAGTATACAGGCAAGGGTTTCTGAAATGGCGAGCCGTCTTAATTATGTTTGTTGCCTGCATCCATCCGCCACAATGTGACGATGGTGTAGAATTCACCGGACGAAATCGACAAAGCCTGGGGCTGTTTGAAATGGACAAAATACTGAATGCTAATTACGCATTGTTTTGCACATATCATTTTGACGTCATGTTTTTATGCAGTTTTGTCTTGTGCTCCATGTTGGTAGGACTCCATGTTGTTCTCCTACAATAAAACTTGAACTAACCTTGATTGTTGCCTCTGCTTGTTTGTTATCTTTCTTGTAAAGTACCGTAGCAACTTAATATTCTTCTTGCACTGGTTGCCAATAGCAAATCGCCGCTCTCCACACCGCTGAATAATCTAAGGGGGCACCAGTGGCGTCGCAGGAGTTGTCGGAATGTTTCATTGTGCAAATGCTATCTACCCACAGGACTAAATCCAAGTATTTAAATTCGGTTGTCTTCTCTTAGATGAGTTGCCATCCAAGGTTAACCAGTCCCATCCACTCGGGGTGCTTGTGATGTTTTTGCTAGACTGGGATTAGGTGGGTACTGAATTCCAGACCATGAACTTGAGATTTACAAAGTTCAGACATTGAACCACCCAGAAGCTATTTAAATATTTACAGCGTCCAAAACCGTAAATATTTGGTTTCGTCTAGGCAAATACATTATTTAGATACATATTCTCAGCTACGTTGACATATGCTTGCCGAGGGAAAGATTTTGATTTGATTTGATATTTATATCGCGCTGGTATCCATGCCATTTTAGCATGCTCACTGCGCTCAGGCCCTCCGAAATCTATTTAAATAAACACAATTTTAATTGTTTCTTAAATCATTTTTTTATCATTTACTATTCCCCTCAAAGATTGAGGCAAACTGTTCCCTAATTTTGGCCCTATCGCTTCAAAACGGCACACTCCGTACGACTTTTTTCTGTGTTTATCCACACTACGAACACTCAGCAAGTACTGTGATGAAGACCGCCGGCTCTTCACGGATACATGTTTATAAATCAGTTCCTTGAGATTACAGGCACCAGATACCAATACACAATAACGGGAAACTTTTACAGTTAATGTACAAATCCTAGGTCTTTATAAACATCATTAGAGTGCTTCAGTATGCCAATGGATATAGTCTAGACCCTTGCTGTAATACCAATATGCAACGCAGTAGTAATAACTTATAGGATCCTTGTGAGAACTTCGGTCGTACCATTGATACGAAAAGTTGAGGTTCAACTTCAGCTTGCTCCTAGAAAAGGTAGGCACGTTTCATCACATTCCTCTAGCTGCCCTCTCAGATGCTACATGACATCTAAGCGTTTATTCAATTTCAAATTGTTTTTACTGTTTTTCTTTCACCGAAGAAGGCAAGTTCGTTGTATTCTGCCTTCTTATTCATGTTATTCCATACTTTGTTTCCAACATTTCCTTATATCAACATAAAGCAAGAACGCTGAGCCAACTTCACACCACAAGCCTCAGGACAATGAAATAGCATACAAAGGGTCTCATTCACTGATAGACGACTGCTCATTACAGCATCTCTACCATTTTGATGCAGTCTTCAAGAGCTCTTGTCGGCTCATATTGTGAGAATTTCAAACGACCAGTTTCTCAAGAGGATTTTTATGGCAAACTTGAGCTTGGCAAATGATATATTTTAGGTCATAAAAAAAACCTCAAGGTTATCTCAAAGCATCTTTCAAAGCTTTTTGCAAACACCTACACATGTGGGAAATAGCCTCAAAGGACCAAGCCTCTTGGTGCTTCTTGGAACTCAAAGGCTCTATGGAACACGAAGCCAACAGAATACCATCAGCAGCACCCAAAAAGCCAATACAGAAAATTTAGGGTCACTACTCTACTTGGGGATGTCCCACTCATCCCTGCTCAAGCAAATTTCACACTGCAGACCGAATCAGACAAAGAAGCGGACTAATGACTCAAAATCATCATAAAGGCGAAGGACCAGAAAACATATTTAGATCTTTTGGTTGAAATTTTGAATGGGGGTGAAGATGGCTCTCCCTTGTTTGTGAGATTTGAGTGTAACCCGCTGAAATCTAAGGTATTGCAGGTTGAAATTAGCTCAATTGGCCATATAGTCGTAGGAATTAGATTGTTATTAGAGTAAAAATATACATCCCTCCAGTAAGGTTCAAGGCCAGTAAACACGCCATGTACGGTACGTAGAACGATTAACTGTGGCAAATAATATGGAATAAGGAACATATTTAGAAACACATTATAACTAAGACAGAGCAATGAAGGGACATTTTGTCAACAGTCTTTTGTTCTTGTTTTTTTTTTTTTAAAGCAAAGTCAAAGCTACTCTTTTTGTAACATACTGACGCTAACACTGCAAGAATACTAGCTGCATGACTTTGCTCCTTTTTATCAAATTTAATCACATACTTTGCTTTTTTAAAAATCCCTCACCTTTTTCCATACACAAAGATCCCATTTGATCGCCACAGTAAGTACTAATTATTACTCTTTGCGAAGTGTAAACGCAATTTATGGTGTTACCAAAGTTTGGTTCTTTATCATCCCAGACCGTGTTGAGCTCTGTTACGGGGTTCCCTGTGTATTCCCAGGCCATGGTTCCCGGGCTCATTTTATCACTAATGCCAATCCATGCAGTGTCCACTTTTTGAAAAATAAATTGGTTAAGAAATGGCTGTATGAAAAAAAAACTATTTCTACAAGTTGAATTGTTAATTTGTAATTCAATATATATATATATATATATATATATATATATATATATATNTATATGTATATATATATATATATTTTTACATCTGAATTAGCATTTATAAGCCAGTGTTATTATTATTTGGAATCGATTCAAAATGTATATAAATGTATACCGGAATATCTCCAAAGCTAACTTTTAACACGCGAGACAAAACTTGATCGTACACTTTAATTTAATAATTAAGAATGAAATTACCTGATAGCGTATTGTAGATAGCGTAAAATTGTGATGATGTGTTTATATAGGGCAGTACTCCGTCTGACGCCTCGCAAAAGCTCTTTGGGAGATATAAAAATATATATACATTGACAAATATGTTACAGAAATTAATACAATATCAACTCATAAATATATAGGAAAGGGTTTAATATTTTAAAAAAAAATCTTTTTAAGATAAAGCAAGCAGTAACCTGGTAAAGGACGGACATAAAAAACACAAATATTTTGATTTTTGATCACATCAAATCGACTTCATCTGTTTAGGTGGGTTTGTTTTCATTTATTGCGAATCTCTATGTGATATAAAGGCACAAAACATTCATGTATAGATTATGGTCGGGCCTTTTAAATGAAACTAGTCAATTTACCCGGTTTACCTCGGGATTACATTCTTTCAAAAAAATATTTTGCTATAGTACCAATGAAAATAAAAAAAAAATCTTTTTTAGAAATAAAATATACAGAAACTCATATAAATCATACACCCCCCATTCCACCCCCCCCCCAACTCAATATTCAAGTTTAGCTACAGTCAAACATCAAAATATAAAAAGAAGAGTAACTTTTAACAGATATCTCATTAAATTAATGAATTCGCAAATGCCAAAGCAATGGCCAATTATCACTATAATCAAAATCCCGAATGGGGCCTTTCTGGTCATCCTTTACGAGCTGGATTAAAATCATCAAATTAAATTGTCAACATTATTCCACTAAAATTGGATGGAATTGACCCATGTTGTTGTCTTTTGAGGACCAGCGCATGATTGGTGTGGCCAAGCGTTTATTTTCCTCGGGCTTTTTTTTTTTTGGGGGGGGGGCGTTTTCCTTGCAGGCATGGTCGCAACTAACTTTTCAGTAGAATTGACCCATGTTGTTGGTTTTTGGGGAGCAGCGCATGTTTGGGGTGGGCAAGGGTTTTTTTTCCTCTGGCTTTTTTTTTTTTGGGGGGGGGGGCGTTTTCCTTGCAGGCATGGTCGCAACTAACTTTTCAGTGAGACAGTAATAAAGCGAACGATCCGTTTGAACATGTTCCTTTACATTTACACACATTCTTCACAAATTTGTTGGAGTTCTAAATCGATTCATCCCAGAGCCAAGTGAGGTGTTGATAACCGCTTGTTTTCTCAAATGTTCTTTATTACCTGATCCAGCATGCGTCCTAGTGTTAATTATTTTTAAAAGCTGACCCAGTAAAATCGTTGGAAAAACTCCAACGATATGGAGTTTAAATTTAAAATAAAAATCAGGGTACATCGTTAGATTTAAAACAATGGTAGTTGTTATGGAATTGTGTAACAAAATACGCAGAAGCCCATTTTGTTACCTAATAATTCATTAGGCAACAATAAGAAAATAAAAATGTAGAGCATTCGATATTCATTTGGAATTTTCTAGGAACTTCTAAAATATATTTTTAATCCGATTTCATAAAATATGAGGAAACCTTATAAAAAGACAATATACGTAAAAAGGGACATTTATATAATCTTACATGCCAACGTTTAAAAATTTAAAGTCGTTGTGTAATTGTGGAAAATTTCGGAAATGTAAAAAACATAAATTCAACTATAATGAGAAAATTCCAAATAAAATATATAAAATCTAAACTTTCGAAAAACATGTATTTAATAATAATAAAGTTCATTTCAAAAACACACTTTATCCCTAAATAAAGCTCGGAGCGCCAGTACAAAGTCAGCCATTTATGACAATTTATATTTTTCCACAAATAAAATACAAAACGCAGCAATACAAAATCTACATCGAGGAATATCAGCAAGCTGGAAAAGAGGAGGTAGACTACATCATCCCAACAGGTCAGTGCGAAAAAGATGTGTTTTAACTTAGTTTTGAAAGAATGCAATGTCTGGCTGTTTCTGAGAGCGACAGGAAGGGCGTTCCAGATTCTTTGGCCAGCAAAAGCGAAAGTGCGCCTTCGTTAGGTCTCAAGGAGGACACGCAGTATCCAGAGTTTGCCAGTATCGGATTATATCCCATTGACATTTTCATTAGCTTTATATTATTTATATCCGTGCAAAACTGTAGAGAACAATATCGATAATATTTTTGAAAGCCTAAAGGAACTTATGAAAAATAAATTAAGACTAGATTGTTACAAGAGCACCCTTGTAATTATACAGCGTTTATAATATAATAAAATCAGTGCTCACTCACAGGAAAATGTTGTATGTTTTGAGTTCCAAAAAGTACCCGATGTAAATATTCCATAGCATGTGTACCTAATCGGTCTAGATCTATACATTCATCATAATTTTATTTGTATAGTTCATGTAAGGAAGCGAGTTTTGGTCACAACGCAGAAAAAAAAAAGTTTGTAATAATTTAAACCCAATCATATTTCTTTCTATAGCATGAAACAGAATAACTATGTATTACAAGTTTTATGAAGATCAACCAGTCCATGCAGAAACGTATTCGTTACAAACAGACATACAGCTACAATTTCAACTTATATAGTTGAAATGTTTTATACCAAAAGACCATCAACAGATACTTCTAAAAAAAAATTATATTAATTAATCTTTTTCATAAATACTGCTAATTATAAATAAAAGCTTATTCAAATGCATAGAAAATAAATAACTAATTTTGAACTTCGTGACATTTTCAAAATACTTATTTTTAAAATCCTTTATAATAGTAACTTCACTTTTCCGAGTCAAAAGCCCCAAAAGAGCTGAAAATTACACATATACTTTTTACGAAGACGTCACATCCGTTAAAATTTCTAGCCACACCACTAAAAATAAGTTGTTCATGTTTTTCAACTGGAAGATAGGAAGGTATGAACTATAGCAGTCGCTAAGTCACACAAAAGGATTTAAAGGAACATAATTTGTTATAGGGTTTGTTTACTTAAAACTTTTATATTAACTTTGCTTTTGTTTGTGTCTTACCTTCTTTCCGTCTGGGTGTGTTTATAATTTTTTGGAAGGCTAATTGACCCATTTCCCGTTAACCTATTAAAGTGACATTTTGCACATAGACTCAAATACATTTTCAGCCCCACTTCCCGCATCATAATCATCATCATGTTCCTTGGTCCTTGGATCATTGGGGCGCCACCGATAATATGTGAACTATCCTCCTCCATTCGTCTCTGTCTTCTGCGCTACGCACAGCATCGCCTAGTTTTAGTCCCGTCCACTCTTTGATGTTTTCTCCCATCTCTTTGCGTGTCTTCCTCTTCTTCTCCCTCCTCTTGTGGTGCCATGCAATATTTTATTCGCAAGACCTTGGTTCCTTGTAATGTGGCCATACCATTGTAGTTTGCGTTTTTTGATAGTCACCAGTAGGTCATCATACTGCTCAATAGCCCCTAAAGAACCCTTTGTTTTACTGTATCATTGGAGATATGGTTCCTATAGCAGATGCCAACAATGCCTCTGAAGCATCTCATCTCCATCGCCTTTATTTTCCTTTCAAGGTCGTCTGTTAATGTCCAGGATTCGCAGGCATACTGGAAAATGGAGAGGACAAAAGAGCGCATCAGCCTGATTTTGGTGCTTGGAGCTATATTTTTGTCATTCCATACTTTCTTGAGCCTCTTTAGTGCTGCACAATCCTGGACATCAGTTCGGGCTTGAAGCCTTCTTCTGAGACTACTGCTCCTAGGTATTTAAAGCTACTGACAGTATCTAGTCTTTCCTCCCCGACTTTAATTTCAGTGACGATGCCTGTGGTGTTATTTGTCATCAGTTGTGTCTTTTCAGCACTGATTAGCATGCCGTAGGACGACAAGGTCTCAAAGAGACGCTTTACCAGGTTAGCTAGATATTCTTTGTTCCCAGCCAGTCCGTCTATGTCATCCGCAAAGCTTAGGTTGGTGATTGTTCTGCCACCAATGCTGACTGTACCTTCATGCGCTTCCAGAGCATGTAACATATTTCTCTCTAGGCAGATGTTGAACAGGGTGGAGGAGAGCAGGCAGCAGGGTGGAGGAGAGCCGGCAGCCTTGTCGTACTCCACCCGTGATCTTTAACCATTCTCCGATGTTGTTGTTGAGGTAGACTGCACTGGTGGCCTGATCATGGAGGTAGCATATCATTCTAGTTAGGTTCTGTTGATGTTGTAGTGCCTCATGGTGGCCCATAAAGCAGCATGCCAAACCTTGTCGAATGCTTTCTTGAAGTCCACAAAGACGTTGTATAGGTTTTGTTGGTGTTCAGCATATTTCTCACATAGTATTCGAAGATTTAGGATCTGCTCAGTAGTGCCCCGTCCTTGCCTGAAGCCAGCCTGTTCTTCAGCAATGATTCGGTTGGCATATTGTTTTAGTCGGTTCAATATGACCTTCAGCATGACTTTGCTTGGATGGCTTATTAGGCTAATGGTGCGATAGTGTGGGCATAGCTGTAGGTTGCCTTTTTGGAGGAGGGTGATGACGAAGGATTGGGTCCATGGTTTGGGCCATTCCCCTGTCAGCCATATTTTGTTACAAATATTGAATAGGGCACTTATCACTGCTTCACCTCCTTGTTTCACCAACTCGGCAGGGATATTATCCACTCCTGCGGCCTTTCCTGTTTGGAGTGCTTGGATTGCTGCTTCTACTTCTGCGTGGAGAAAATAGGGTAGCTATCATTGTCTGTTTCTGGGGGGACATTAAGTATTCTGGGTCTATCTTTATACTTTCATTGTACAGCTCTGAGCACTTCCCGCAACAATCACCAACAATCAAAGGTCTCCTTTTCAAAGAGATGATGAATGAACTATGAATTTTTCAACGGTTGCGTATTTTGGTGTGGAGATTAACTGTGTAGCTTTTGCTATGGGTTTTGTATTTGAGACGTATTTTGGAATACAGTAAAAAATAAAATGTATTTGAAAGTGAAAGATGAGGGACACTTGTTTTTGCCAGAAGTTTTAACATTTAGTCAACCGCTTCTAAATAAATGATAAATAGCGACAAGTTACATAGATGCAAACAAATATACACATAAAGTGTTTATACTTAAAAACTTAATTTTTACTGGTTATTTAACAACGTTTTCTCTCAAAGTGAATCTGGCTCCATTTGTTTGAGCTCTCGCCCTTTACCCTCTTAAGCCTCTACCTCTATATGCTTGAGTTTTAATCGGTTCTCTGTACTTCCATTGCATGTTGACTGAGGCCAGATGATCCTCAGACAGAAGACATTCATTCCCCTAGAGGAACATTATCAAATCTCTAACCGTCTTTTTTAAAAGTAAATTGGGTTAAAATTAAACCTAAATGTTTCGTAATGGATTGGATAATAAATCTCTTCAAGATCATTTGTGTTCTGTCTCTTCAGATGATTTTTTTTTTTTTTGCTACATCAAAGTTCATTTTGACACAGGTAGCTTATTGAGCCCTTTGGTAAACTACCTCTGGTATTGGCATTGCTAAAGTTGTAGTTTTAAAAATGTTAATTTCTGCGTATGAAACGAAAGCTACAAATCATTTTAAAAAACAATATTTTGTTATTGTTGGCTTTAGAAAAACAAAACAAGTAATGTATTGTGCAGGCATTTCTGTAATTAAATTCGTTTGCACATTTCGTCAACTATAATGATAAAGAGAGAGCGTTCAGTTTATCAGACAAAAATGAAAATAATTCCCTGTTACGATAGTTAATATGGTATTTCTTTTGATATGAGCTAGCAGATCTATATTAGGAACTCTAGAGGTCCCTTTGCAGCCGATCGTTTGGTACGCACAGAACCCACTCCTGGAAAATTATATCTAAGGCACATTAAGTTGAATCAAACCTTTGTTAAATATTTTGATCAGGGATGAGCGGGGGTAAATCGGCGCAAGCAATTAGCCTGAAAATGTCAACACTCTGCTTTAAAAATAAACGATTCTCCTGAATAAATTTACGTATGCTCCCAACTCCCCATGCCTACCAAACTATTTGGCCCGTCTCATAATGAATCTGATACATTACCCTAAGAAACTGCGCTTCTTAGCTGGAAATATGCTGGACGGCCTTTTGTTTTATTTTCTTGACATATCATACTTTTCATTTGATCGGTGACCAACATATAAAAACATGGATCAATCTGATTCAGGGTGGTTGCCATTGTTTTTTCCCCTCAGTTGTTTGTAAGCACATATAAAAACGTGAGCTTAAAGATATGAGAATATTTTTAAACAAACGTAGGCATTTTACCTTTGCTTCATCGTATGTTTTACCGGTCATTGTGTACCAAAAGCAGGAGCCTCCAATGTCTACTGACTCGGGCAATCGGCAAGCAGCTGTAAAATGTCAACGAATCACGTACTTGGTCGAGCATGAGTGAAACACAAATAATGTTTGAAATAAAATGAAGTTTTAAGGAGGGTTTTTGGTTGTTGTTGTTGTTTTTTTAGTTGGATGAAAGGGGGGGGGACGACAAACTTATATTGTTTACTTTGGCAAGCACTTCGGCATGAATACCATAACAAACAGGAGAGAATTAACTTCATGTGGACTGGGATCAGTTACAACACGCCTCAAACAGTAAGAATAAAAGCGGGACAGATTTTTTCTTTCTTAAGCCTTAATATTCCTTTTTATCTTATTCTGATTTACGAGTTGTATGTTCCTCTAGCAACTTTTTAGATATTTTAAAATATAAATAGTGAACATTTCAAAAAAGGTTTTGCTTCTGTTATGTAAAAGTTTTCATTGGAACAATAGGGAATAAGAAAAATGTTTCTCTTCTTCTTAAATAAACAAATGTTCACTTGTATTATTTTTTTAAAATTTTAATCATAATTATTATTAAACTCTTACCTGTGATGTGTAGGATGCAAATTAACGTCACTGTCCGGAGGCACGGTATATTAACCATGGTTATAGGTGTTTGATTAATAATTTTCTGAAACTAATCAAAAGTTTTTTATTTGTTTTAACGCCAAGCAATAAGTTTGCCTGCACGTGTAAACTAGAAGAATGACAACTCAGGTTTAAAGGATGCTTTCCCCTGGCGGGATAATCGTTGTGTGTGTTGATTACATGTCAATATCCTTTATTTACCAAGAGTTATCTATAAAACCACTGTCTTCAGTGGACGCATTTGCACATTCTGAAAATGCAGGTCTGTTATAAATGTGTTCTATTTTGTTGGCTCCAACTTTATACATTCAATATTTCTAAGTTGGCTCGAAAACGTAACTTACCTCTAGTGCACACGTGGCAGGGGGTGTAATCGTGTTACGCTTTTTCAATAGACTAAATAGGCCATGATATGATCTTAAGACGTAAGCTGCCGTCCGACCCGGGGCGTCACAGATTTTTTACAACGTGAAAGTGGAAGTAAATTAATTTTACAGGATTGTCTATATTGCTAAACTTGTACATAAATTGGGATGTAAAAGCTTAAGGAAATTCTAGTTAAAATTCTATGTATTATTAGGAATTTGTTCAGTATCGGTGAATGTTGTTTTTTAAAAGTTCCTCTAAGTTATACGAAAAAGGTTTAATGTTTTTATGTAACCATTTAGTATTGTATAAATGGCCTTATGGTGTATGTTTTTATCACTGACAATGCTCTTGATCGAATGTTATGAAATCAGATTTAAAGAACTTTTTTTTAAAGTTTCTAGAATGTACTCAATTAATGTTCCCTGAATTGCCAAAGACATATACATAAATGTTGGTGAAGGCTTAGATCGCAGCATACCTGGATCCCGCCTGTGGACCGTAGTTTGGTGACCCCTGGTCTAGAGCCACCCACTTATGGAGTAGCCAATGTTTTAAATTATATTTATGTAGCTCAAATAAGAAAAATAGTAATGTTTGTCATCAGGCTTCACAAGGGAGATTTTGAAACGTAAATTTTATAGAAACTTTAAAACTGTTTAACCATGGAACTTAATCTCACCGAGGAATGGGATCTTTTTTGGGAAAGGGGTGCCAACAGAACCCGGGATTCTTTTAGGGATCTGCATTCTACTTGTGAACCGGAACACAATGGGGAACTGGAACACACCGGTGGAAAGGATCTTACTGGAGAATTGGATCACAACTGGGTCAAGGATCCCACCAGGAAATGGAATCCCTATCGGAGAACGGGATTTCATAAGCTAACGGGATAAGATCCAGAAACGGGATGCCACCGGGGCTTGAATCCCATCGGGGAATGGGATCACAAAGAGAACAGGAACCCAACGGCCCATATATATCTATATTTACAAACGTCATTGAACGCAAGTATACCTTTTGGTATGTTTTGCTGAAGGTGCTGGAAGTAGTTCCCTAGAACCCTCACACAACGACGCGTGCACTTTTCTTTCATCTGAAAAAAAAAAAAAAAACACCAATGGACAATGTCTTTTTGCCCAAATGTGTGGCTTTTAACACCATTTGAAATGTTTCTCACCTTAAGATTCTTTATCCCAGGAAGTTCCTTAAATACTGTTTTATATGTCCCTGGCGTTTGATAATATTTATTTTAAATCTTGTGCACAAGTCGTGGCAAAAAAGGTGCAACACTCTATGTTTTGAAGAGCCCTGGCTTCGTTCGCAATTAGCTTAAGTCTATGTTAACACAAATCAATAAAGGCATGTATAAAGCTTCAAAGGTTAATCAAGCTGGTAACATCATTCCCTGCGGAAGGGAGAGAAAAAAAACACAACCTTTGTAAAGACTTGATCACTAAAGGATGACGCAAGCCTCGGGAACTTCACGTGTCTTATGCCTTTGGTTTTTAATTGCGGTTTTAATTGAGACCAAGCATGGACTGCACTTTTGAAAACAAGACGCTAAAACATACAAGTAAGGATGTGTAAGTCAAAGAAATATTATTTCAGAAATTGCTTAACTATGTTCTTTTTCGATCTTTGTTATAGGTGTGGGAGTAAATCAGCTTCTTTGTTAGCCCAAGGTGCAATTCTCCCCCCTCCCCTACTGAAGTAATGAAGGTAACAAAATTGTCCCCTGCACATTTTAGAATACAATTTGGAAAAGGACCTTCTCTACCCTGCTTGGCGCCACCATATTTTAATTGTTGCCATGGCAGGTGTCTTTGGTTAGAGTGTGGGAACCGCATCTTCTGGTCATGATGTACCAATCTTTTAAGCGCTTCAAGCAATCATGATGAAAAATTGATAAAACGTTTAATGAATAGCTTGTCACTAATTATTTATGGGCAGTTTAAAATATTATAAGGATAGTTTCATGGAATTAGAAATGTGGGGGGGGGGGGGCCTCAAGCTTCTCAAGCTTCATACTTATTCCACACTCTAAATTATCAAAACCAAAAGTAACATAAAAAAGCACAATTAAGTATTTTAAATATAAATTATTTTTAGTGGGTTTTTCAAACCGACAATACAGTATGAGCCAAATACATGTATATTCAAATCTTCAAATACTGTGGTCTAATCATAACTAATGTAAACAAATTAAAGGTACAAACAATACAAAATCCACAATAACTAATATCGTAAATAGTTCTATATGGGCTGTGACAATGTCATACAAATTCTGGGAATTTATTTTTTGTTGTTGTAGGAATCTGTTGACATCTTGCCCCAACATTTCTGGTACTTCTGGTTGAGACTGGCCAAGAACTCTACAGCAGCTGTGGTCCTGAATGCGCCAAAGATGAATCTCAAAGCCTGATTCCGGTTTCGGGACAACTTTTCAATGCAGTTTTGCTTGCTAACTTTGGAAGGACATGCTGTAATCTATCACCGACCTTACACTTCCTAGGAATATAGCTCTAAGCATTCTTGCCCTCCACAAAAAAGCCAAATTTGTTTCACTAAATTGAGCTTGGTGGTTGCCTGGGAGCAGATGTCTTGTACAAAATAGTAGTATTACTAAAAAGTTGTTTAACAATTTCATTTGAAAAATGGTACTCAAAACGGACGTTCTTAATTCTCCCCTCTCCACCAACCCCCTGTCGTCCATAAGGCTTTCGCGGGACGCTGGACGCTGGCGAATAATGGCGTTATAACAATAATTGTTGTTTCCGTCCTCTGTCCCTCACATCCCTGACATCGATCTATGAGTAATCGTTAAAATTGTATCGTGACATAGACGGACTGTAGACTACTTTCTTCAATCAGCCTCCTTATTAATGTAAGCAAGCTACAGCAGTTGCGACGTCAGCAGTGCCCTGTACACATATGTTACATTTTCCTGGTGCTGATACTGACAGTTTTGTTATGGTCAATAATTGTGGTGTCTTTTTTATATTATTTGAAGGTTCAATCCCCCCAACCTCATTCCCCCCGGTTGACATATAGATTTTTTAAAGTTTCTAATGTTCTTTCTGTTAGGATTTTTAACTAATGTTACCCGAAGCCCAACCTTCATTAAATATCCAGTTATCCATTGTCCCATTCATTTGTTCATTTCTTAAAATGTTAAAAGCATGCGAATGGATACATTTCTTATACAGGAAATATTTTAACTGGACCAGGTTATTTCACTGACTTTCACTAGTGAAGTGCTTTCCACCCTTCATCCGAAGTAGTGGTAACAATTCGTAAATAAACACGCCTTTGTTAGGATCTTTCAACTTTCTTCTTGGTCGTCTTTGTTCAGTCTTTCATTCTTTGTCTTAAGCCTTTCCAAAATGTCTACGCAGCGTGTCTATTCACTGCTCAAGGCTTGTGGTGCTACTTGTATCCCATTTCAAAGTTGAGCCTCTTCCTGTTGTTTCTTTATTTTTGTATAATCCCGTTTACAAATTCAATAAGCAGCTTTTGGTGTTGCAATTCCATGTCCTATTGAAGGCTTTGTCTTGTGTTGCCATTCCATGTCCTATTGAAGGCTTTGTCTTGTGTTGCCATTCCATGTCCTTTTGAAAGCTTTGTCTTGTGTTGCCATTCCATGTCCAATTGAAGGCTTTGTCTTGTGTTGCCATTCCATGTCCCATTGAAGGCTTTGTCTTGTGTTGCAATTCCATGTCTCATTGAAGGCTTTGTCTCTTGTTGCAATTCCATGTCCTATTGAAGTCTTTGTCTCGTGTTGCAATTCCATGTCCTATTGAAGGCTTTGTCTCTTGTTGCAATTCCATGTCCTATTGAAGTCTTTGTCTCGTGTTGCAATTCCATGTTCTTTTGAAGGCTTTTTCTCGTGTTGCAATTCCATGTCCTATTGAAGGCTTTGTCTCTTGTTGCAATTCCATGTCCTATTGAAGTCTTTGTCTCGTGTTGCAATTCCATGTCCTATTGAAGGCTTTGTCTCTTGTTGCAATTCCATGTCCTATTGAAGACTTTGTCTCGTGTTGCAATTCCATGTTCTTTTGAAGGCTTTTTCTCGTGTTGCAATTCCATGTCCTATTGAAGGCTTTGTCTCTTGTTGCAATTCCATGTTCTATTGAAGTCTTTGTCTCGTGTTGCAATTCCATGTCCTATTGAAGGCTTTGTCTCTTGTTGCAATTCCATGTCCTATTGAAGTCTTTGTCTCGTGTTGCAATTCCATGTCCTATTGAAGGCTTTGTCTCGTTTTGCATTCCTTGTCCTATTGAAGTCTTTGTCTCGTGTTGCAATTCTATGTCCCATTGAAGGCTTTGTCTCTTGTTGCAATTCCATGTCCTATTGAAGGCTTTGTCTCTTTTTGCAATTCCATGTCCTATTGAAGGCTTTGTCTCTTGTTTCAATTCCATGTCCTATTGAAGGCTTTGTCTCGTGTTGCAATTCCATGTCCTATTGAAGGTTTTGTCTCTTGTTGCAATTCCATGTCCTATTGAAGTCTTTGTCTCGTGTTGCAAATCCATGTCCTATTGAAGGCTTTGTCTCGTGTTGCAATTCCTTGTCCTATTGAAGTCTTTGTCTCGTGTTGCAATTCCATGTCCAATTGAAGGCTTTGTCTTGTGTTGCCATTCCATGTCCTAT